CCATTGAGTGATGATGTTCCCACAGAGGCTCGAACCCAGTGCTCATAGTTTCAAACGCCAAAGCGTTATCCACTAGATCACTTGAGCCGCGAGAGCCACTGCCTCTTGTGCAAGGGGTCATATTAATCATTCAGTTGAACTTTAGACATCGTAGAGGCATCTGCGCAAGAAGCCAACAGACATGTCAACCTGAGACCGAGCACTTCGGTCCAATCTGTCGACGAGAAAATCTAAAATTCAGTTGAATAATTGCATTATTTGATTAGGATTGTTATTATTCCCTGGGGTTCCCTGGAGAATATACGGCTTTAACAGCACATATCCATTGTATCCTGTTTTCTGCAGTTCTCTTTAGCTGGTCACACGATTTCCTATAGTCTCTCATCTCCTCCTCAAACGATCTCCTCCATGTCAACTTCGATCCAATGCCCATCCCATTCGGGTTCCACACGAGTGAGGGCCTAGAGTCTCCATTTTTCTCGGAATACTTGTTGAGCAATAGGTTCTCGATAGGTTCGTTGCACTGTAGAGTTTCTTGTTTCATAGTTCTCTCTGGCCAGCCGTCTGATCTTCAGGATGGAGGCAGCGAAGGTGGCAGCTGTTGATAAAACGCTGCAGCAGGCTGTTGGAAATGCTTTTCACGAAGCTCTGGTCAAGTCTCTGATCCATATGAAACAGTTAACTTGACACTGGTGTTGAAAATTCGAATTTTATTCTTTATACTGAGTGGAGATTTCCACAGTAATTAAAGAGAGATAATGGTCTGTCTTCCCTTTCCCATACTGTCAGTTTTTGACATCCTCATCCATACCGACTGCCGATAGATGGAACAACTGTGTCTGGCAGGATAATTGAAGGAAGTGCTATCTTTCAAATTTATCCAGCTGACAGTGATTGTTTGTTGTTGTTATTGTTGTGGGTTGGTTATCTTCATCACCTCTCTCTTCCCTATGTTCGCCTAGAGTTCTATCTTCTCTGCTTGCTTCTTCTGCTAACTTACGGGTTTTCGCTTGTATGTCTTGTATGTCTTCGAGTTTGTGTGATATTAGACATGAGAACAGTGTTATAAAATAAGAGGCAATTTCTGAAAAGGAAAAGAGATCACGTTTCAGTGATGGCGTCATTGAAATGAAGGGGATAAAGATGAACATTTCACGGATCTCTTACATCATCATGTTAAGAATAAATTTGAATGATGACAGTACTTGTTTGGAAAAACATCTTTGCAGATATTTGAAAAAAACACATCTCAAAATGATTTCAAGTCTGTAGAATGTGATTTTGGTTATGTAATGCCTGTTAGTTATAAATCTAACCATCATCTTGATGTTTTCTATCATATTCGGTATGGAATTCGGCTAGCAAAAACAATTTTATTGTGGATTTCATCATAAACGGACATCAGTCAGAGAATTACTAAAAGTGAAGGATCATTGGATGACTGTCTCATCCTAATTTGAAATTATTCATGTTACACCATGAAGTAGCCAATAATTACCCAGTAGTTATACTGAAATGTATTCGTTTTTCGAGTTTGACCACGGATTGATATCAGTTAGAGAACCATTGAAAACCAACAGGGAGTACTGGACAGCTGTTTCATTCTAGTTTGGGACTCATCGGCAGTACGCACCCACCACCAGTGTTAGAACCCAGGACCTTCCAGTTACATGGCGAGCTTATAGACCATTCAGTCACCAGGACTACTCAATGACCAGTCCATGAATTCTAACTCCTACCATTCGTGATGAGTTTAGTCCGACCACTAACCAATGTCATCGGCGGGACTCCCATCCTCACACTTGAATAGTTGGATCTCACTATTTCTCACTAGCACTCCAGGTAACTTTGTGCTGTAGAAAGTCACTAGAGATCATCAGATTATTTTTCAAGAGTTGATTTGTAAGGATTAGATTTTTTGTTTCGAGTGTGACCACGGATTGATATCATTTAGAGAACCATCGAAAACCAATAGGGAGTATTGGACAGCTGTTTCATCAGCCTAGTTTGGTAATCATCCTTACAAACTAACTCTTGAAAATGAAATATATTCCCCTTCGTTATTGAAGATTATAAATTACACGAGCTCACCGTTCCAGTATGAAATAACTGTTTTGTCCGCGTAGGTTTTAACGGCATTTTTGATGTGGTTGTGTTCTCTGAGCTGGATAGTTAATTTGCGAAGCTTCACGGCCCTACTAGACGACATCTTCAGCGCACGCTTCAATTTGAAGTGATCTTTTAGATTTCTCCACGAGTTTATTAATCATCTCTCCTGGTGACCTAGGGCGTGGTTGGTTGTTTTTGTGTGTTTTCACACCTTCGAGGTTACTTGTATTGTCAGTCATTGTTTCTTTGACTTGAACTTTGACCCTTTGTGTATGTGTGTGTGAGGTTTCTCTCTTATCGGTTAATAAACTTTGTCTATCTCGATGTATCTATTGATTGATGACTCACTGGAATACCTGGCGGTTTTCTAAAAATTCCCTGACATTCTTGGTGTCTTTTCTGTCTAATATTTGAATGTTGTCCCAGTCGAATTGATGTCCATGGTTGTCTGTATGTGGTGATATGAGGAAGTGGATGTCATGTCTTTTGACGACTAGTTAATGATCATGGATACGAATACGAAGGGGACGTCCACTTTGGCCAATTTAGTGTTTTTCGCAGTTGATACAATCTATTTTGTAGATGATGTTGGTTTTATCTACTTTCGTTGTTGAGTCTTTTGGTTGACATAGAATTGAGTGAAGTGACTTTGTTGGTTTGTGTACGACGTCAATTCCTAAAGGTTTGAAGAGTCTTGTCAAAATCATCCACCTGAGCTACAAATCTTCTTTATCATATCTAACGGTATTTTGTTTGATATAATATCACAATAAAAACTGCATTGAAACTAATTATTCACTTACAGACTTCTCAGTGTATTTACTATTCCCTTGGATTCAGAGTGGAATAAACAGCTTCAAAAGCATATCCCAATTTAGTCCCGTTCTTTATGGCCTCAAGATTTCACAACCCCTTTCATCTCCTCCAACTCACATGACCTCCTCCATATCACCTAAGGACTAAAGTCAAACTCAACATATCACATTTGGGTTCCATTCGAGTGGATGCCTGGCGTGGATTGTCACCCGACAGTCTCCTCCTCAGTGTGTGTCCGACCCGTCTCCATTTCCTGTGTCACATTTGTTGTGCAATAGATTTTTAGTTATTTCATTCTGAGAATTCCTTTTTACTTATTCTTTCTGACTAGCTATCTGATCTTAAGCATGCAAACAGACAGGGAAGTTGGCGATAAAAGTCTGCAGTCACCTGTTGAAAACGCACACGCAGTGCAAGTTTCTGATTCATCTTTAAGAACTGACTGCCTTGACTTAACATTGGTGTTGAGATTCCGAATTTTGATGTCCATGCTGCTTTTTGTGCAGGAGATACCCAAAATGATTTTAGAGTGATGAAGGTCTGATTACCTTATTCGATTTTTTCACTGGTCACTACATCCGCATCCATGCTGACTGCCTGTGGTTGAAACGACTTTCCCATGTAATCGGTTTCAGAATGAATATATACTCATTTTAAAACAATTAGTTTCCTTTATGAATTTAGATAAAGCAGTAAGAAAACGTAATTTGTCTGAATCGTGTGTGTGATGTGTTTGCGCAACGCATTTCCAACAATCTGATCACAATACACGTACTTGCCATAGGAATGAGTATATATAAAATTAATAAAGAGTTAAGAGGTGAGAGAATAGACAAGTTAGGTCAAGTTAAAAGGACATATTGAAGGTGAAAATAACAATGAAGATCACTAAACCAAATAGCAGAGGTAATAGTACATCTGCTATGGTATCAGCACAAAATTTAGCAAGGAAGGTGGTTTAGTGTGATGACGAATTGTTTTTGAACGCATAGAGGTGGTTTAAACTTTCTAATTGCCAGCTAGGGCTTCCACAAACTTTAGGATACGCCCTCCGCCAAACACGTTTTATAGATAGGTTTAAAAGATCTGTTAACGTCAATTGTATGTCCTGTCTGTATAATGTGTTTCGCAATAGAAGAGCTAGGTCTCCTGTTCTCACCATTAATGGGTTATGAAGATTCCATTTTTTTGGAGCCATTTAGGAATATGCTCTGAGGTCATCCCTTACTTGCTGGCAGAGATCGATGAGTCCTCTCTATGTATGTGTGTCCACACGTACATTCAAATTGGTAAATACAGTCGCATGTTCAAAGGGCTCAGATAGATATATTGGCTTCACATTCTCAATTATTATGATATTAGCTGTATAGAAAGTCCTTTTAATAGCAGCGTTCAGTCTTTGTCTAGTTATCAAGTTGCTATGATGCCCCCCATATAGGGTAGGGTAGCTTGATGTACACGTCGTTCTTAGGGGCGAGTTGGAGAGTGGGTCTTGGTGTTCTGACTACTTTATATCTCCTGATGAACATTTGTCTGGATAATTATTTATCAACCAGAGTTTGTGTCAACTTTCTTTCTTCTTCATCAAGTGTGCCTTCAGTGCACATTCGTTGGATTCTACTGAAGAGGCACCTTACTAAGGCTCTTTTGTACCGAACAGGGCAGAAACTGTGACAATTAAGATACTGTCTTGTCCTTGTAAGTTTTCTATGGATAGATCGTTTTAGATTTTCCCGTCAATTGATTGAACCGAAGTGCTCGGTCTCACGCCGACATGTCGGATCCTTGTACAGATGCTTCGACCATGTCTGGTCATTTAACTTGAAGTCAGTAGGTGGGTGGTGACTATCAATGGAATCCAGGAAAACGCGCATTTCGTCCTACTTGGGACTATGGGCACTGTGTTCAAGCCATCACTCACTGAGGAATGCAGATACATCCAGTAGCTGACGGGTTCGAAATAGGACGAAGTGCGCATACATGAATATATACTCAGTTTAATTTTTTTTATTTTTCAATTTTATTTACAACATTTTAAACTCTTTTTATTTTCTTATTTTCTAATTGTATTCCAGGGTAATTTTCAAGGTTATGCATGTCATCGTTGTAAAGACGGTTGGACTGGTGTCAACTGTCGTACACGCAGACCTTTACGTATACGTCGTAATGTTCTACAAATGTCTATCTCAGAACAAAGAAAATTTCGTGATCGTATAGCCTTAGCTAAGCTGACACCAATGACTGAATGGTTAGTAATCAATATCAGTGATAGTTCAAATGGTGATCCAGTGGGATCAGAAAATTTACAGTTGATACAACCACCGTCTATTTATGATTATTTTGTGTTTATCCATTTATATGCATCAAGAAGTAGTTTGGTTGACGAGGAGACAAATGGTCCTTGGTGTAATCCAAATGAGCATAGGTTAGATTTTGCGCATAAAGTAAGTTGACGGTGTTTTAATGAATAAAAGGCGTAGTTAATTTTTAAAATAATCAATATTTATTGATGAGTTACGTACGGAGGTATATTTAAATATGTATATATCTATTAGTCAATTTGTACTGATAGAATTCACTTAAAACTAAAGTGCATGTGAATTGATTTTGTTGAATTCTCAGGGGGTGAATCCTGATTTCAGTCTGTTCTCATCAGTATTTTTTCTTTTTATCTAACCCCACGATTGCTTATAAGCTACCATTTTCTACTCACACAAGATTTTCTTCATGTCAGCCTCGAAGCAACGCTCAGCTCGTTGTTTCCCATTCCGATTCCGTTCATGATGTCAATTATTGGTCTTCTCAGAGTATGTTCAATTCACCTTTCCTTGTTAGGTAATAGTTTCTCAGGTAAACTTGAACAACAGAGTCCCAGAAGTGTGAACACTCCAGTGACCTTGAACGCATGCTAGTCGTTGGCTAACAGCACCTGTCATTATCACAGCTGAAATATCAACGCTATTCACCTACTTAGGAGCAAATTTCACCCAGATTACGTTTTTAAGTACTGTTTGGACAATGTTTTAATAGCTCGTTAGGGTTAGGATTAAGGTTAAGGTAAGCATTGGGGTTAGGGTTAGGATCAGGGTTATAATTAGCATTAGGGTTAGAATTACGGTTTGGATAAGGGTTAGGAGATGGTTAGGTTTAGTGTTAGGGTCAGGATTAAGCTTATGGTTACGATTAGGGATAGATTTATAGTTGATGTCATTTATTTTAATTTGTTTTATTATCCACATTTTCCTGGTAAGTAGTCGTCTATCCTATTGCTGGAAACCATAATAATTCAACCGAGGGCTTTTTTGGAAGACTGCAAGCAGGATGAGAGAGATAAACGATTCACAAAAACAGTTTGTCTGTTGTCATCTCGGTGAATACATGTACAGAAACTAGTCTAACTTAACAACTGATACTCCTGGTTACAACTAAGACGTATTTTTAAGCCATGTCAGAGAAAGATAACCTGTTTAATACTTTTTCAAGCATTTTCTTGTCAATCTACATCATTTTTTGAGCAAACATTCCTCATTTTTATGATTGGTTAGCTGAAGGTCACATGTGCGCTCGCACTCCTGGGATGCTATTGTTGAATTTTACCGTTTCTCAGTTGGTTTAGCCGTCTATCAGAGTTTCATGTTGCTTTTCCTTTTCGGTTGGCACTTTTGATCTTCAGTATAGCGCGAAAGCAACCGCTGATGAAGATGCTCTTGGTAATGCGCCTGTCACGTTTATGAACTATATAGAGGACATTTTGTTAAACAGTCAGCAATAACTTTTATATCAACTCTAGATCATAGTTCTTATTTAGAAGTTAATTAGTGGATGGTGACTAGCAGTGGAATACAAGATAACGCGCATTTCGTCCAGTTTGGGACTCGTCAGCTAGCAGGATATATCTGCATTTCTCAGGGAGTGGTGATGTCACCACTGAGGCTCGAACCCAGTGCTCATAGTTTTAAACGCCAAAGCGTTGCCAACTAGACCACTTGGGCCACGAGAACCACTGCCTCTTGTGCAACAGGTTATATTAATTATTTAGTTCAATCTGAGACCAAGCATTTCGGTTCAGTCAATCGATGGGAAAATCTAAAAGTGAATTCAAACTCGAAGACGTACAAATGAAAACCAATAAGTGAGCAGAAGAAGCAAGCAGAGAAGTTAGAACTCTAGGCGAACATAGGGCAGAGAGGGGTGATGAAGAGAACCAACCCACAACAACAACAACAAGCACCAGTCACTGTCAGCAGGAGAAATTTGAACGACGTCACTTCCTTCGATTATCCTGCCAGACACTGTTGCTCCAACTATCGGCAGTCTGCATGGATTAGGATGTCAAAATCTGACAGGATCGGAAGGGGAAGACAGACCTTGATCACCCTAAAATCACTCTGAAAATCTTCTCCACTCAGTATGAACAATAAAATTCGAATTTTCAACACCAGTGTCAAGTTAACTGCTTTATATTGGATCAGAGACTTGACCAGAGCTTCACGAAAAGCATTTCCAACAGTCTGCTGCAGAATTTTATCAACAGTTACTACCTTCGCTGCCTCCATAGTGAAGATCAGATGGCTGGCCAGAGAGAACTATGAAACAAAAAACTCTGCAGTGTAACGAATCAATCGAGAATCTATTGCTCAACAAGCATGCCGAAGCAAATGGAGACTCTAGGTTATCTCTTGTGTGGAACCCGAATTTGAAATGACGAGCTGGGCATTGGGCCGAAGTTGACATGGCGGAGGTCGTTTGAGGAGGAGATGAGACACTATTGAAAATCGTGTGACCAGCCAAAGGTGACCGTAGAGAACAGGATACAATGGATATATGATGTTGAATCCGTATATTCCCCAGGGAACCCAAGGGAATAATAACAATCCTAATCAAATAATGCAATTATTCCACTGAATTTTAGATTTTTCCGTCGACTGATTGGATCGAAGTGTTCGGTCTCAGGTTGACATGTCGGCTTCTTGTGCAGATGCTTCTAAGATGTCTAAAATTCAATTGAATAATTAATATGACCCGTTGCACAAGAGGCAGTAGCTCTCGTGGCCCAAGTGGTCTAGTGGATAACGCTTTGTCGTTTGAAACTATGAGCACTGGGTTCGAGCCTCTGTGGGAACATCATCAGTCACTGGGGAATGCAGGTACATACGCAAGCTGAAGAGTCCCAAATAGGACGGAAAATGGCGCATCCTGGTGAATTCCACTGGTAGTCACCATGCACCTACTGACTTCAAGTTACATAATCAGACATCGTAGAAGCGTCTGCACAAGGAGTCGACATTTTTAACCTGAGACCGAACACTTCAGTCCAATCAATCGGTGGGAAAATTTAAAATTGAATTAAATAGTTCTTATTTGTTTAAAAATGTCCATTATAAATTTTAAAGCACTGCTTACAATTTGTCACAGTCAAAATCATAAAGAAAAGGCGGTTGATGAATAAGTAAAGAGGTCCAAAATGGTCACCTTATTTTAAAGCTAGCGCTGAAAATGTTGTCCAGGAAGACAATGACAGTTTCGCAACTGAATCATCTAACTCACAGAGAGTAAGAACGATGGAAACATCTATCATAGCTATAAATGTCCACAACTTCGAATATATATATATTTTCTGTGTGTTAACTTAGAGAAATACGCTTCATGTGCATTTATACGAAAACTGTATAGCATCGGGAGTACTCACCTCTTGTGGTTTGAATCCAGAACCTTCCAGTTACAAGAACAGTTCGTAGACCATTCAGCCACTGGGACCTGATTTAATGGCCTCTGAATTCTTACCTCTACTAGTTAGTCGGCCTGTGAGCCGGGTCGCAGTAGGTGAATGGTCTACCAGCTTTTCTAGTAACAAGATGGTCGTAGGTTCGAACCCCAGTATGTGAGTGCTACTGATGACTTCCAAACCAGGACGAAATAGCTGTCTAATACTCCTTGAAGGCTTTCAGTGGGTCTCTAATTGATATCTTTCAATCAGTGGTCAAAGTTGAAACGAATCAAATGCCTACAAACTAACTCTTGAAAGTGAAGAAGTTGTTGACGATTCAGTCTGAATTTCCCTTCTCTGGGAAATTCTAGGAGAACTACATTTTGTGACTAATTATCCTCATGTTTTCTCTTTTCATCGAAAATGTAAATACCCTTAAACTTATTTCATATTTCTTTGTATTTTCTAAAAAGGGACCTGCATTTATCACTTGGCATAGAGCATATTTATTATTTTGGGAAAATGAACTTGCTCGTCTAGGTAGAGGGAACAAGAATAATTCCACTGGTCAAGGAGATGATGATGGTGATGACTTTACATTGCCTTATTGGGATTGGACTTCAGCGAATGGTTGTCCAATATGTACAAATGATTTAATTGGAGCACCTGATTCGAATTCGACGACAGGAAGTTTAGATCCCAATAGTGTTTTTTCTCAGTGGATCACATATTGTCCACAACGTTCTGGAATAAATGATTGTCATGTTTGTGATCCAGGTAAATTGATTTCTTTACAATTTGTATTGATTTGTACTTGTAACACTTTGCGTCAGTGAGTGAAGCAGTACAACGCTTTAGTGTTACCGGTGTTGATTTAGAAAACTGTACATTGGTTGGTTTGTAAACAGCTCCCTTGTGAAGCCATTACTCTTCCAAAAAACTTTATTTCGTGTTTTAAACACTTTATCTGTTATTAGTCAACCTTTGAATGCAACCAAAAAACTTAGAATGAGCATAGCTCATGATTGTGTTTGAAGTTAAAGCTAGCCAATTTAAACATAATGATACTTTCAACAGTTGGTTTGTAAGGATTAGATTTAATTGAATTTTAGATTTTCCCGTCGATTGATTGGACCGAAGTGCTCGGTCTCAGGTTGACATGTCGGCTTCTTGTGCAGATGCTTCTGAGATGTCTGGTCATGTAACTTGAAGTCAGTAGGTGGATGGTGACTACCAGTGGAATCTAGGATAACGCGCATTTTGCCTTATTTTGGACTCTTCAACTGGATGTACTTGCATCTCTCAGTAAGTGATGATGTTCCCACCGAGGCTCGAACCCAGTGTCCTAGTTTCAAACGCCAAATGTGCATCCTGAATTCCACTGCTAGTCACCATCCACCAATTGAATACTAATTAAATGCCCAGACATCGTCGAAGCACAAGAAGCCGACATGTCAATTTGAGAACGAGCACTTCGGTCCAATCAATCGATGGGAAAATCTAAAATTCTATTAAATAAATAAATATGACCCGTTAAACAAGAGATGGCTCTCGTGGCCCAAGTGGTCTAGTGGATAACGCTTTGGCGTTGGAAAATTGGGCACTTGGTTCGAGCCTCTATGGGAACATCATCACTCATTGAGAAATGCAGATACATCCAGATGACGAGTCCTGACTACGACGAAATGCGCGTTATTCTAGATTCCACTTCTAGTCACCAGCCACCAATCAAATAAGGATTAGATTTGTTTTTCTAGAGTTTGACCACGGAATGATGCCAGTTAGAGAACCATTGAAAACCACGGAGTACTGGTCTCTCTAAATCACGAATTGGTAGGAGTTAGAATAAATGGACTGGCTATTAAATGGGGTCCCAGTGGCTGACTGGTTTACGAGCTTACCTTGTAACCGGAAGGTCTTGGGTTAAAACCCCGGCAGTGGGTGCGTGATGATTCCCAAACTAGGCTGACGAAACAGCTGTTCAGTACTCCCTGCTAGTTTTCAATGGTTCTCTAACTGACATCGATCCGCGGTCAAACTCGCATAAAGAAATTTAATCCTTACAAACCAAACTCTTGAATATTTGAAGATATCAAATTCACAAGAGAAGAAGAATTAGATACAAGTAATCCCACTTTTAGATATTTTAATCAAGAGAACTAACACAGGAAACTTAGAAACACAAGTGCACAGACCAAATACTATAGACTACAATGGTAATAACCCAATTACCCACAAAAGAAACTGTGTGCAGAAATTGTTGGAAAGAGTTCAAACACACTTTAGCACTCCAATGTTGAAGAGAATGAATTAAGGAAAAATACCTATTAACCGTCTTCGAAAAGACTGAAGTATCCTCACAATTTCATCAAAAAGTGTTTAAACTCAAGTCATAACACCAAGAAGAAACCATCATGAAAGACTACAAGGAAATTCATCCTACTATATATATAAAAAATATCTCTGAAATAACAGCTAGAATACTGAAACCGTTTGAAATAGATGTAGCACACAAGCCAGTCAGCCAGTACAATCACTTCATTCAGTATTGTGCAAACCAAAAGATCCAACAGAAAAAGAAGATAAGATCATCAGTACCATTTACAAAATAAATTACATGCATGAACTGCAATAAACACTACATCGGTCAAAGTGAATTCGAATACAAGAATACAAATTAGCTGTGAAAAGACATGATATATATATATTCTTTCATATGAATGCATGTAGACAAATATGGACACCAATTTGATGATTGGGAGAATGTAGAAATCGCAATCAGAGGAAACACCAAAACTGCAGTCAGGGAATTCCTAGAAGCCTGGTACTTGGAAGAATAATCAGCGATTAACAAGCATGTTAACATAGACCAAATCTACCAACTGATAAAAAGTAAATCATATGACGAGAAAGTTCAAAATCCAAGTCAATAAAAAATGACCAATACTGATGTAAATCGACTACCATTCACGAAGATGGTTGTTGCCATGAGACACAATTCCATCATTCATGGAGAATTTCAATCAGTTCATTTTATGCCAAAAACTTCCGCTAAAGATTTTGTCAAGAAGGACGAAGAAAACTCCACAATTAAATCAACTAGCAGCTGAGAGAACACAACTAGTTGAAAACACAGAAGAGTATCTGATCTATCTCTGACATCATTGTAGGATGAAGTTTAGCAATTAGTATTTTCTTAATCTCCTGCAGTTGCATTTGATACCTTGAACTGATGCATTCCTGTGTAAATTGTTCTGTTTTATAGACAGTTAGGTGTAAATTCATGAAATGAAGAAATCGGCTTACATGTATCCCCCTTTATGAATTTGAGTAAAACAAGAACAACAGTTTGGGCATTAACTAAGACGCTACGATCATTGTTTATTTCGTTGGCTTCTCATCAGCTGCATACAGATAGCCTAAAGAAATTATTAGGTGGTTTATGTACAGGACAATCTTAACATACTTGAAAATGTTACATGATGTCAGTTAATGACAGGAGACTCCAAACTTAATAAATAGTTCTCAGAAAGTACATTTATTATAAAGCTTTTATCCAGGGAGTTCAAGTTTCAACAACAATGATAAATGCTTGGATACACTGGTAAGAGTTGCGTAGTAAAGACAAGAGGTGGAGTAAGACGATGAGTAACTAATAAATTGGGTAACAACAATGTGGTGAGTTCAACTCAAATCATGGAAACAAGAGACTTGCAAAGTTGCACTATGCAAAAGGAGGGGGAAGTGGTTCAATGTAGAGATTGCGTAATCAATTGAAGAGATAGAGGGAGAATGAAGACATCGAGTTACCTGCCAGAAAAGAGCAAGGGAAGACTGATAACTGCTTTTTTCCGAACATGTTAGTTGGGTTGCAGGCGTCTGATAGTGATTGCTTCAGGAAACTTTAGGAGAATTGAACTAATTTGTCTACTGATAATTTTGAACGATCTTGCGACGTCCACGTCATTACCTGTGTCTAGTAGATATCTGGCAATGGCATTATTGTAAGCGTTTGTTCCCTTGAGATGTAGGCTTTTCGGTACATGTTCAGAACACTTACCCTCATGGTTTTATAAAGGAGAAAAAAGGTCTCCTTCCCGAAGCCCTATTCTGGAACACCTCATCGAATCGGGACACCAAGTAAACCCACAAAACAACGTCAGAGTCATCTACAGAATACGTGGGATCTTGCTGAAGGGGTACGTATCAAACTTCTTCAAACTGCAGAAGCAATGGCAATTGACATATTAAAACCTGAACTCTGCATACAAAAAAAGTTTGTTCAGTCATTAAATCTATAGTGGACCTAACCTACCTTGACACCAAATACATGATTTTTGTTTCATCTTTTTCTCGCCTGCTTGTTTCTTAGTTCTGTAAAATTTTCCTACCCCACTTCTTATTAAATCTCTACCGTCTACTACCACTGTTGATAACTTCACTTTTGTTCAATTTTAATTTTAGCTGAGTTCTACTCAACCCCGTCGATTAGATTGCGTCATTCAACTTGCTTATTTAATCTTATTTTAGTTTCCACATTACACAACTTGTTGACTAAAATTTACAATTCTAATGACAAATCTTTGAAATATTCATTTTATGCGATTGTACAGCTTGAGAATGATGTGCCGTTAAGAGTAACTCTTCTCTGAATGTCTTTTGTTGATAATTGAACATTTTTATATACTTAGATCTGTGGCTCACTGCTGTATGCTGTCGCCTCCCAACTAGTGGGTCACAGGTTCATTCCCCCTCTCATCCTACCGAGGTTTGAGCAGCGAAATATTATTACTAGCCCTCACACAAATAGGTGTGACTCTATGGCCAGCCGCTTGGTATCATAAGTGGGTATTGGGTAACATATGAACACCATTGGTCATCTTATTGTGATTCTTAACTTTCTAGCGTGCACTGTTCATCATTGAATCAGTTTCACGTTTTCATTTCTTTCGAATATGTTGTATAGTCCAGCCTACGCGAAAAGCTTGCTTGTTCAATACTTCCATACTTGTATTACATCAATTACACTTAAAGTCTATACACTAAACCTGCGTAACTGTAAACATTCTCATAAGATATTTTAGCTGTGGAGAAAAGCGTTAATAATTCGGCTATATTATAGGATTTTTTCTTTTCTTTTTTCTCAAAGTGTGTTTAAAAAAAAACTATGAAAGTCCCATCTACGTATCAATAACAATAAATCAAGCTTGTCAATTGTATTTGAATAAACCAAGAGCAACAGTTTAAGTAGAATTAGATGGTATGGTCATTTGTTTCTTGGGCTTCTCATCTGCTGCATGCAGACAGCTTAAAGTAATTACCAAGTGGTTTATGTACAGAAACAGTTTTAACACACTTGCACATGTTATATGATGTCAGTTAATGACAGGAGACTCCAAACTTAATAAATAGTTCTCAGAAAGTACATTTATTATAAAGCTTTTATCCAGGGAGTTCAAGTTTCAACAACAATGATAAATGCTTGGATACACTGGTAAGAGTTGCGTAGTAAAGACAAGAGGTGGAGTAAGACGATGAGTAACTAATAAATTGGGTAACAACAATGTGGTGAGTTCAACTCAAATCATGGAAACAAGAGACTTGCAAAGTTGCACTATGCAAAAGGAGGGGGAAGTGGTTCAATGTAGAGATTGCTAGATCCATAGATGTAGTTGAAGTCATAGATACATGTTGATGAAGCCGTCATTAGTAGTCTATCCTTGAGTGGCTGTGTGAATGCTGGTTTAGTTGAGAAACTCAATACCATTCTAGCTTCGGGGAATTTTCTGTCGTTCGATTTCACTTTTGTAACTTGAGCCATGTCTCCTTTAGACGTCGAGATGTGCTTTTTAAAACGTCCTGCGGCTACCTGTTTCCTTGCAGTATACACTTCAGTCTACAAATTCCTGTATTCTTGCATTCGTGTGGACATTTACATTTTATTCCATAGTCAAGGCACTTAACTAAATTTCTTTGGTGGATGTAAAAATATGAAAATTGACAGACTGACCACTCCGAATGCTCTTACTGAGGCTGGTGTCCCTCAGGGCGCTGTCCTTTCTCCTTTTCTGTTTTCTTTCTTCTTGTATGACTTGCCTCACTCTGATGAAATGAACTTTGCTAAGTATGCCGATGATCTAACTGTTTCATTGTCTGTTAACTCCAAGCTTGACTGTACCAAGATGAACAGCTTTCTATCAGGAATTAGCAAATGGTCTTCGTCTAACGGCCTTAAATTTAATCCTTCCAAATGTCAGACTGTTAATTTCAATTTCCGATGTAAACGAAAGTTAAATGAAGCCGATGGTTCTTATGACCCTTGCAAAATTGATGATAGTGATATAGAAACCAAGTCTGAAGTTAAGTATCTTGGATTAATTTTCTCCTCTGACCTATCCTGGTCCTCCCATGTCTTGGCGATTTCTAAAAGAATATTTCGTCTGACTTTTTACATTAAGAAGTTAAGGCACTCAGGCATAACCCAACCCCTCCTCTTACAGTTTGTCAACTCGTGTATTTTACCTATTCTTCTTTACTGTTCGCCCTAATTCTTTTCTGGATTGCTTAAATAAGACCATGTCATACTTCGTAGAACTCTGAAGACTGTCTGTCAGTAGAGCGAGTGGTATCCCATTAGGCCATATCGTTGGCGTTGTCATTGATAGGCACTTGATTTCATGCAACAAATTCGCTAAAGGAATTTTGTCAGACTCTGAGCACCCACTCTACCCGCAGCTCCAACCTTGTGTCTCCTCAGGTAAAACAAGAAGTGTTTTCAGAAGACTTTATGCACGTACGCCTAAGTATAAAAATTCCACTATACCATATTTGACGGCACGTACTTTATGTGATGGGAATAGTGTTAGGCATGAACTAACTAACCTTCTTTTCACTAGTAAATAAACCATTTTCTGCACGCTTACAACATCATACTTTATTGTTATTGTATTTCTTATCTTTATAATCCTCTCAATTTTTTGTTTTTATTTGTTTATTGTTTCATAAGTGTGAACATCATTTAAGCTGTGTTATAACGGTTAATTCTGTATTTCGCCTCACTATACTTTTTCAACAGAACATTAATTCCAATAATCTATAACATGCTAAAATTTCCAAACTGAATCGCCAATACTGTTTGAAACAAACTCACTGTTATTATTATTATTATATTTAATAATTTCAATTCGTGCTTCGAATATTTTTGACTTTATGTCGTAAATGTGGACAAATTCCTCTGGTTAATTTTGTTTTAATTTTTAATTTTATTTATATTTTGAGTAAATTAGATCCAATATTGTGACAAATGCTGAGAATTCCATTCTGTATTATAAGTACCGTTTTTGGAATAAAGTAGATTATTATTATTATTACTGAAGAGGCTTTCCTTCAAGTACTCACATATCTTTTTGGTGTGGAGAGCACCTTTCTGTTGTCTTCTTCACAAGTGAAATGAATATTATTGACAACATTCAAATACTCCTTTTTTCTCAAAGTGTGTTTCAAAAAAACGATGAAAGTTCCATCTACGTATCGACAACAATATATCAAGCTTGTCAATTTTATTTGAATAAAGCAAGAACAACAGTTTGAGTAGAATAAGATGGTACCACCACTTATTTCGTCGGTTTCTCATCAGCTGCGTATACCGATAGCCTAAAGAGTTTATTAGGTGGTTTATATACAGAACAATTTTAACATACCTACAAATGTTATATGATGTCAGTTAATGACAGGAGGCTACAGACTTGTCTGCATCAGTGGTACAGAGGTTAGGCTTCCCGTCGACCATGTACATGGTCCGGAGTTCGATCCCCAACCGACGCACACTTGAAATCAATCGTCAGTCTGCTAAATTTCGGCCACTGATATCACACGCCGAAAATTCCATACTTGTACCCAAATACTATATGGAATCAAGTTATAATCAGAGAAACAAACAAACAGACTTAGTAAACAGACATCAGAAAGTTACACTTATATAGTTTGCATCCAGAGTGTTCAAGTTTAAACAAAAATTACAAAATGCCTACAGTGGCAAGGGATTTATGCAGTTACCAAAGGCAAGGAAAGAATGATAACCGCTTCTTTCTGAACACATAAATCGGATTTCAGGTGCTTGATAGAAAGATGACTTCATTAAACTTGAGAACGAATAAACTCTTTTGCCTATTGATAATTTTAAAGGAATTTACAATGTCGATCTCATGACCTGTGTCAGGGAGATGCCTGGCGATGGTACTGTTGAAAACATTTGTTCCTTTGAGATGTAAGCTTTTTGGTAAGTGTTCAGAAACACTAGGTATCCACGAATTTATTTATTTATTCCTTAAACTTGAATCTCGCTTATTTAAGTAGTATAAGTGTGATTTCTGAGCACTGTCTATTAAGTTTGGAGTCTCCTGTAATTAACTGACATCATGTAAAATCTGAAAGTGTATTAAAATTGTTCTATATATAAGCACTGTCAGTTTTTTTAGATTCTGTACGCACCTGATTAGAAGCCAACAAAATCAATGGTGGTTCCATTTTATTGTGCACAAGCCGTTGCTTTTGCTTTATTCAAAAAGAGAGATAGTTGATTACAGGATTTCATCATGAACTGACATTGGTTAGAGAACCATTGTAAAACCTGCAGGGAGTACTGGACAGTTGTTTCGTCCTAGTTTGGGACTCTTCATCATTGTGTGCCCACCGGGGTTCGAACCCAGGACCTCCCGGTTACAAGGCGTGCTCCTAGACCAATGTCAGCTCATGATGAATCCCTGTGACCAATCAAGTCCCTACAAACCAACACTTGAATATCGATGAGATGCTCACTAGCGACTTGCCCCATTCAGGTAGGTGGTTACCTGGGGTTCCAGTGGGAAGTCGTGACCAGTAGAGTGCAGCAGGTCGGGTGTGAGGACAAATACTCGCCGAAGACATTGGCTAGCGGTTGCACTATATCTTGAATTGGCAGAAGTTGGAATTCATGAGCCGTTGGATCGGGTCCCAGTGGCTTAATGGTCTACGAGTTCTTTCTCCTTGTGACCGGAAGGTCCTGGGTTCGAACCCCGGTGGGTGAGTACTGCTGAAGAGTCCCAAACTAGAACGGAGGAAACAGCTGTCCAGTACTCCCAGGTGGTTTTCCAGTGGTTCCCTAACCAATGTCAGCTCATGATGAAATCCTGTAACCAATCAACCAAATCCCTACCAAACAACACTTGAATAGAGACAAATGAAATTTGGACCTTTCCCTTTGACTGATTGGAAAGAAATGTTCGTTCTGTGTTGTTATATTGACTCATGGTGTGGACGCATCGACGATTTCTTAAGATTAAACTTGAAGGGATTTGGTGGATAGCGACCAGCATTGTGGAGTCCAGGATACGTATTTCGCCCTATTCGGAGCTCATCATCTGGATGTACCTGCATTTCCCAGTCAGTCATGATGCTCCCCTTGAGGCTTTGGTGTTTGAAAGGATGGGTACTGGGTTCGAATCTCAGAGGGAACACTATCACTTGTTGAAGAATATGGGTACATCCATTAGCTGACGAGTCCCGAGTAGGACGAAACACACATCCTTGATTCCTCTGTTAGTCATCATTCACCAAATCGCTTGAAATGAAACCTTCAGACATCGTCGAGGCATCCGCATGTTGAACCAACACGTCAGCAGAGACTGGACATTCCGTTCCAGTCAATCAAGTGGAAAGTCATTAACAAATGGTCTTCACTGCCCTTTTTTGGTTCTTTGTAATAGGTATATTATGGTCGGACAATCCTAATCACCCTATGGCTGGTGGTCCTTTATGGAGACTTAAAAGTGATGCTACAAGCTTTCCTTCAATGTTCAATCGTTTGCCGAATCAAAATGATGTACTAAGAACACTGGAGACACCAGATTATGATGCATGGCCGTATAGAACTGCTGCTGGAAGACGTAGTTTCCGTGATGTATTAGAAGGATTCACTGATCCAAAAATTACACCAGATACCTCTGATATTGTTGATAATAATCAGAATGTTGTAAACGTGATTGCCGATAAAACAAATCAAACAAATGACACAGTTCCGTTGAGTCAAATCAATGCAATTACTAATCAAGTATATATGCACAATCTGGTAGGTGGTGGGTATGAATTATTCTGTCATGTGATTTGTCTTTTTTTCAAAATGATTTTGATAATTATTTTATTGATCTCTGAATTTTAGAGTTGGATTATTATTGGTTCATTGGCTAGGTTAAATTACAGTAATCCAGGAGCACGAACGCACTAGTGACCTTGAACGCGTGC